AGCTCAAGGCTAGCACTCTACCACTTGAGCCACAGCACCACTTCCGGCTTTTTTCTTTTTTGCTTATGTGGTGCTCAGGAATCGAACCCAGGGCCTCATGCATGCAAGGCAAGTGCTCTACCACTGAGCCACCTTCTCAGCCCCCATCTTTGTATTTTTCTAGTATCTTCATCAATGTCCATTTTCAAAACCCTAATACTACTTAAGGAGATCCCCACATTGGTGGAAGTATAAGCTTGCAAACAAAAGGCCTCAGCATTTCTTTCCCTTTGCTGCCCTCTGCTGGTTTAAATGGGCTTTAATGTAGATTCCCATCCATAGATTTGTGATCCCAACTTCGCTTATCTTGCTCATTTTATCTGTTCATTTCTATGGAGTTGAAAATAATGATTAAGCCTAATTTTTTTTGTTTTTATTATTTGTATTGTATTGGGGTTTGAACTCCCAGGCCTCAAGATTGCTATGTAAGCTCCTTACATGAGCCAACTCTTTGTTGTGTTTATTTTTCAGCTAGGGTCTTGTGTTTTTACTCTGGCTGGCCAGAGATATGGCCTGAGAGCAACATCTTATTGCTATACTTCCATATAGCTGGGATCATAAGTGAACCATTACATCTGGCTTGTCAAGTAAGATTGGATTTCACTAACTTTTTGACCTGGTTGGCCTCAACTAAACTGTGGTTTTGATCTCTGCTTTCCTAGTAGCTGGGATTATAGGAATAAGCTACTGTGCCTGGCCCTAAGACTTTTTAAACCTTTTCACAGCACTGTTGTGTGTGTGTGTGTGTGTGTGTTTGTGTGTGTGTGTGTGTGTGTGTGTGTGTTCACCCTTTTTTATGTATATATGGCTCTAGTTAATACTGTATTTCTCAAATGCTTTCCACCAACATTCAAAATGAATATCTGAAACTATTAACTACAGACTCCATGTCATGCCACTGCTCCATAAACCTCAGTATGCTCTAGTCTGTGTTCTTTATCTTCCTTTTCTTTGTTTTTTTGTTTTTGTTTTTGTTTGTTTTGGTCCGATCGTGGGGCCTGAACTCTGGACCTGGGCGCTGTCCCTCAGGTCTTCAGCTCAAGGCTAGCACTCTACCACTTGAGCCACAGCGCCACTTCCGGCTTTTTTCTTTTTGCTGATGTGGTGCTGAGGAATTGAACCCAGGGCCTCATGCATGCAAGGCAAGCGCTCTACCACTGAGCCACCTTCCCAGCCCCTATCTTCCTTTTCTTTTCTTTTTTTTTTGTCGGTCGTGGGGCTTGAACTCTGGGCCTGGGTGCTGTCCCTCAGCTCTTCAGCTCAAGGCGAGCGCTCTACCACTTGAG